TAATGGGGAGATAGATGAATTGATGGAGATGGGTAACGGAAAGGACAAGGATACCTTTGTGCACGGAAAGAATGGATTGGGATGGGAATTAGAAGATTTAGGGGCCTCAAAAAACCCTAAATCTAGTCTAGAAAATCAGGAGCAAATAGAGAATAAAGGAAAGCTATGGGTTGATATCATCCGGGGGAACTGAAATACGACAAATGGGAAGAAGCTTCAGTTCACTGCGCCAAAAGTCACAAATGGAAATGTGGAAGTAGAAATTGAAGCCGAAGATGTTGTTTCAGAAATTAAATTTTGGGAAACTGCAGTGATTATGTATGTGTTAGGGTCCAGCCTCAACATGACTGCGGTGAAACACTATATGACCAAAACATGGAACTTTGTGTCGCTGCCAGAAATGTTCTACAATGACGAAGGTTATTTCATTTTGAAATTCAAAACAGAGAAAGAGCGGGAGCAGGTTTTGATGAGAGGACCATACACGTTTCACAACATGCCAATGGTGATTATGGAATGGAGACAAGATTTCTCAATGGAGAGAGACATGCTTAGGACAATACCGATTTGGGTAAAGTTTCCTAATCTTCCATTGTCACTTTAGAGGGAAACCAGCTTGGGGAAAATATGTAGTGTGGTGGGAAACCCCATATTTACTAATGAGTGTACAGCAAAAAAACTGTGCATTACCTATGCCAGAATCTTGGTTGCAGTGGATGTTACTCAGAAACTGTGTGAAGAAATCACAATACGGGACAACCATGGAAACAAAAGACAACAGAAGGTTGAGTATGAGTGGCGGCCCCAATTCTGTGAAAAGTGCCAACAATTAGGGCATGTGTGCACAAAGGAAAAGAGGAATGTATAAAGGAGATGACAGCCTAAGCAGAGTGGTCTTGATCAGGGTGAAAGGATTGGTAGAAGCAAAGAAAATGATAATCACAAGAAGGAAGATCCACTGGTGCAAACTAGGCTGGACACTGATTCTTATGAGAAGAAATAACCTTGGACGACAGTTGGAAGGAAGAATCGAGACAAGGGCAAAACTGGCTTAACATGTATTATTAGTCCAACCCCTTTATGGACTTTTGACTCTGAGACCATGGATGTTTGGAATGACATAAATGGTGCCACTGAGGGGGTGCCATGATAGTCTCCTGGAACATCAGAGGGCTGAACAAAGGGGTCAGGAGTAGAGAGATTGGCTCCCGTCTCTCTAGACTTCAACCCAATATTGCTATTCTGGTGGAAACCCGTGTAAAGAAGAAGAATGCTGAAAAGTGCAGGAAGATGTTGGGTAAACATTGGCAGGTGTATGATAACTATGAGAAACATGAAAATGGAAGAATATGGGTTTTATGGGATGCTAACAAGATAACGGTGCAGAAGTTTCAGTGCTCAGCCCAATTACTGCAATGTGGTTTATATAACTGTGATGGAAAGTTTAATAGCTAGCTCACTGCAGTTTATGCTTCTAACAACCTCGAGGATATGAGAAAACTCTGGAATGATATGGACAATTTAGGTACAAGTCTAAAAGGGTCGTGGATTAGTATGGGTGATTTTAATAATGTGCTTGGGGCTCAAGATAGAATGGGAGGTAGAGAAGTCAGAGAGTATGAATACAAGGATTTGAGGAAGATGATGCAACATAGTAATCTGTTTGAGGTGGAGAATAAGGGGGAGAGATTTACTTGGTTTAACAAACATGTGAAAGGGGCTATCTACTCGTGGATAGACAGGGTCCTTGCAAATACGGTCTGGTTCCAGGAAAATCAGCATGTTAGCCTGCAAATTTTGGAACCAGGCATTTCAGATCATGCCCTGCTTTGCCTGCAGGAAGATAACCACAAAACTAGCAGAAAGTATAGCTTCAGATTTATGAATAAGGTCACTGATTTGGAGGGCTATCATGATGCAGTCTCACAAACCTGGCATGGGGGGAGGAATCTGTTGAGTAAACTTACCAAGATGCAACATGTGATTAAGAAGATTAGCAGACCATTAATTGGTCTAAAGGCCCAAATTGATGAGGCTAGAGCACATCTTAAGGAAGTTCAGCAGAACCTGTTAAAAGACAAGTTAAATGACACCCTGATCTTGCAGGAAAAAAGTAGCAGTGATAAGCTTATCCTCCTTAATGAAATGGAGGAACACCTTTTAAAGCAAAGGGCTAAAATTGCTTGGATTAGGCTGGGGGATGGAAACAACTCTTTCTTTCATGCATCTCTAAAGAGTAAGCAAAAACAGAGCTCTATCAGCAGTCTCCAGCGAGAGGATGGTAGCATGGCCAACTGTCAGGAAGAGATCTCAAGGGAAGTACTGAGTTTCTATGATCACCTTCTGGGTAATTCAAATGAGAATATTGCAGGGGTGGACATTGGAGCTCTTAGGAGAGGGAGACAACTAATGATGGAGCAGAGGGGGGAATTGGTTAAAGATGTGACTGATGAGGAAATTTGGAAAGCTCTCACTAGTATTGACGACCTCAAAGCCCCTGGAGTTGATGGTTTTGGTTCCAAATTTTTTAAAGCTTCTTGGAGCACTGTGAAAGAGGACGTTATTACTGAGGTTCAAGGTTTTTTTAATGAAGGTAGATTAGACCCTAGATTCAACAGAACCTTGGTTACTTTGGTTCCAAAGCAGGAAAATGCAAAAACCATCAGAGACTTTAGACCCATTTCCTGCTGCACTACTTTTTACAAGATCATATCAAAGGTGATGGCTGCGAGAATGAGCAAGGTCTTGCACCATGTTATCAGCAAGAACCAAGCTGCTTTTATCCCAGGACAAAAGATACATGACCATATTCTGCTGGCGTATGAGCTAATCAGAGGTTATACTAGGAAGGATGGTACCCCTAGGTGTGTGCTCCAAATGGAAATCCAAAAAGCCTATGATTCAGTAGAATGGTCTGCAGTGAAAAGTATTATGATGGAGATAGGCTTCCCCAGAAAATTTGTGGGTTGGGTAATGCAGGCCATAAAAATTGTTAGCTATCAGTTCAGGATTAATGAAAAGATCACGGCTAGGTTGATTGCAAAAAGGGGCTTAAGGCAAGGGGACCCAATATCCCATTTGCTTTTTATTATAGTCGTGGAGTATTTACATAGGAAAGTAGCAGACCTAGGCAGAGTCCCAAATTTCAATTTTCACAGCAAGTGCGAAAAGTTGGACATAATTGATCTTAGCTTTGCTGATGACCTTCTGCTGCTTACTAGAGGCGATGAGATTTCTATGCAGCTGGTTATAAAGAATTTCCAAGAGTTCTCTAGAGAAACGGGTTTGGTTGTAAACCCTGCAAAGTGTAAACTGTTTTGTGGGGGAATGGACAGGAGAACCATGAACAACATTGCTGATATAACTGGTTTTAGTCTTGGTTTTTTTCCCTTCAGGTACCTTGGCATTCCTCTGACCAGTAAGAAGCTCTCCACAAACCATTGCTTAATCTTGGTAGATAAAATCACAGCCAAGATTAACCATTGGAGTTCCCATTTGTTGAGCTATGTTGGAAGGGTCCAACTCATTAATAGTGTTGTGTTCAACACTATCAATTTCCGGATGCAGGTGCTACCTTTGCCCAAGGGAATTCTGAGTAAGCTCAAAGCTTTGTGCAAAACTTTTCTTTGGACAGGGAAGGGTGATGCTAGCAAGAAGTCCCTCATTGCTTGGAAAAATTTGTGCCAACCTAAAAATAGAGGAGGGCTGAACATTCTGGATATCACGATTTGGAACAAGGCGTGTATGATCAAGCTTCTGTGGAATCTGAGAAACAAACAAGATACCCTTTGGGTGAAATGACTTCATGCCTACTACATGAAAGGATAGGAAACGTTGAGGGTGCCTATCAAAGCTTCGTGTTCGTGGATTCTGAGAAGCATCCTAAAGGCCAGGTCTGGGCTAGTTTCCCTCAAGTACTGGAATCAGGTGCAGAATGATCGCATGTTTACAATTAGGAAGATGTACTATGAGTTATTGGATCCAGAGCCAAAAGTAAAATGGAGAAAGCTGTTATTTGATAATGAAGCATCCCCAAGAGCTCTTTTCACCTTAAGGATGGCGTGTAACAAGAGGCTAGCAACAAAGAACCGTCTGTATAAGTTTGGGCTGATCACTGAGGAAAATTGTGAGTTCTGTAGCGAGAAGGAAGACATCCAGCACCTCTTCTTTGAGTGCCATGTTATGCGCAGTATTTGGCAAAGTGTGCTGCAGTGGTGTAACATTTACCGTAGACCCAAACAGTGGGATGAGGAGATGGATTGGATGATTTTTAACAGTAAAGGGAAAAATGTTATAATAGAATTTTGAAAACTGCGTTTGCAGAAACTTTATATGGGTGCTGGACATTGAGAAACAAAAATGTGTGTAGTGAGAACCAGAATGCTAGCAAGGAAAACAGTAGTATAGGAAAAAATATAATAGATAGGATAGTTAACAGGTGCTGGAAAAAGAAAAAGTTACAGGAGCATGTTACTCAGTTAATTCTAACAGTGGGATAGGTTGGTTGGGTTTTCTGTCTGATTTTTGGGCTGGACCCTATGGGTCGCTTGGTGCTTATCTGCTTTTTGGGATGTATATATAATATATCAGTTTTCCAAAAAAAGAGAAATAATTAAGCATGCTAAAAGTTGCATAAATGAACACAAATTAAAGATATAAAATGTAATCAAGCATTTGAGCTCCACTTATAAAGGAGATCCCACTAAGGACGCAGTCTGGGAAAATTCCAGATTCGATTCTTATAGGGAAACAATATTTGGCATGTGCATCATACAATGTGCTCTCCACTTTTTCCTTTTCGAGAAAGACACGTTTGAGATTCTTCTGTAAAATACTTAGTTAAAATATTCAAAATTATAATTTATTTTTTCTATAATCCAAATTTTTATTATTAAAATAAAAAATATGTAGTTATCGCAAAAAATGCGCCAAACTAATACAAAACAACAATAAATAGTTTCCTCATCGAATCGTAAACCCAATTGATCTGCAATCTCCCCTTAAATTGTTTTCAAGTCTAGATTTTTGGATACATGTGTTGTAACCACTTCATCAAAAAATTTGTGTTGCTTGGATAATTGAAAAACTTCCTCCACCAGAGTGGTCTTACCCACCCCATCTAACTCATACACTCCAATATTGCCTAAATTAAGGGCTGCTAAAGCCTTTATAATCTCCTGATTAAGTGACTCCCTTGTCTCATATTTTTCATCACCTCTTGTTGAGGAGGAAGAGGCTACTCCATTTATAGCAGAAAGGTAACCAACTGGACCAGAAACCCTTTTTCCTTGAACTTGAACAACATCTTTTATAAGTTTTGTGGCTTTCCTACTTAGTTGATGTAGAGAAATCAAATTGGGAAATGGCCATGCTGAACACCTAACATTGGCATGGCGAGGATCATTTTGAAGTTGAGTCTCTTTTTCAATGACCTCGTTCACATTCTCAATCTAGTTCACCATATTTTGAAAATTTGTTTTACCATTTCTCCTTTCTTCTTCAACCAAAATCATCATTCTTTGTCTTTCATCATCAAGATCTTTAACATCATCAGTTAACATTTTGAAATTGGCTTTGTAGCGTATCAAGTAACTTGCTTGATGTTCAATATGAGCAACAGTATACTCTGAGACCTTTCCAACAACAAAAATTAGAGTATCCATTGATCCTTTTTTTTCCTCCTCTTCTTTACTTGTGACTTGAGTTGATCTGATACTGGAAGTGAGAGTAAAATATACTATTTTAGGATTCTCCCTCTCTAACCTAAACCTCTATGTTTCCGGATGCAACCTTTCTACAAATGCCGATACCAAATTTTGGTCTATCCTCGAAAAACTGTTTCTCTGAAGAGAGGATAGACCATCGCTACCCAACCAAGTCTGTATCACATTGAGGAGCATGTGCAAAATCCAACCTATCAATTTCCTGCCATATGCAACAACCTTTAACTCTTTCTTCGGTTGTCTCTCCAAAAAACAATGTATACCATAGATGTTATAAAATATATAAGTACTAACAAATAAAAAGTATTCAAGATAACATGATATCGATTAATTTACCTCGTCGAACCATAAATGGCGAGCAACGTGACCCTCATATCTCACCAAAAAGACATATCAGTTGTTTCTCCAGGAAAAGCTAGCTGCAGTGGACCCACATCAGGCTGCTGATGTCCCTCTCCATCCTTCTCTGCCTGACGTCATTGTCGTTGCTCAATCCTTCGCTGCATACTGTTGTCGCCCGAGCCTCCTATTATGCGAACCACTTAAAAAAAATTAACAAAAACCGGATAACACACTTTGGGATTTTTCAAAATAACGTAACACAAATCAGATAACAGGGCTAGCTGGTTGTAGCCTGTGAAAACCGGATAACCCACACCTGCCTTATCCAATTTATTTATTTTTCTCACGTAAACCGGATTACTCACTGCTTAATTATCTAGTGTGTTACAAAGTAAATCGAATGTGAAGGTTTAGAGTTTTCTGATTTGTATTTTCAGGGAGATGCTCTCTCGTTTTACTAAAATGAAATGAGAAAAAAGTAAATATTTTTGAATGTGTTACTATTTATACAAGGATATTTTTGTCTAAATTTCAAATTTGTAGGGGGTAGAGGAAGTTAAATTTTCAAGTTTTTATCGAAAAAGCAGCCCAAATGATTAACAATATGGGTCGGCCCATTTTGCAAAACAGTCGGCAGCTGTACCATTTGGGAACACTTCTCCCTTCTTCTTCTTCATACCTCTGTTTCTCTCAAATGCTCTAAAACCCCTTAAACCCTACTATTTCCGACCACCGCGATGGCTTCGTCGCTAATTATCTACCGCCGCAGCTTCAGACCACTCTCCACCCTCCACCATTCCTTTTCTTCTACTTTGACACTCCCAATCAGCAACCACATTTCATCATCATGTTCACGTCTGCAATCATCAGCGAAACTCGTAGGCGTTCAGTCCCGTACATTCAGATCAACGTCAATTTCTCTTTTGTCTTTATGCGTCACGACAGAACTTCGGACCATCAGGGCAAGGAGAAAGAGGAAATTTTGCGCCACAACAGAACTTCGGGCCACCAAGACAAGGAGAGAGAAGAGACTCCGAGCCTAGTGAAGGTGGATGGGATTTCAAACCGTCATATATGGAGGAATTTGAACAGGCTGATAAAGGAATTAAGATTAACAATTTTCATTTGTAGAAGACTAATGCGCTTGCTGTGAAACTGTAAATGACGAAACTATATCTCTGTAAAATTTGCTATCGGAAAAAATGTAATTTCTATTGTGATTTGTTTTTGTTATCTTATGCAGGGAAGATATTGATCATAATCTGAGTCCGGTTCGTGGCTTGTACCGAAGTTACCAATACTGAATGTCCTTGCCCATGGGATCAAAAATTGAATCTATTGAGTTGTCATTGTATAAACATGTTTGAACTGGTTTATGTCGAATGCCTCTTTCTTTCCTTGATGGTGAACAGATTGAACATGGTTTTGTTCTCACGTGTGTTGCTTACCCTAAGTCATGTTATTGAGACTCACAATTCAATTTTCAATTTTCAATTTCTACTTTTAAGTTCCTCTCATGTTATTATTACATCTGTTTGGTACCTTTTAAACTGTGTTTCTACTGTGTCTACAATGACTTGTAGTAACTCTATTAACTCCTTCACATGTTTGCAGTATCAGTTGAACTTAATTATGTTGTTCTGTTTATTATTTATCTTGTCTTTTTACTCATAAATCTTCATTTCCCCTCTTTTCTTGGGTTGGATATTATATGAAATTTGATTTTCCTATATGTTGATTTTGTGTGTTTGAGCATATGGGTATTCTTCTTTTCTTTTTTTCTTTGAAAGGTTTCAACTTTTGCTTTGTAGTGTTGAGGTAAGAATAAATAATGGAGCATGTTGTGCACCAAGGCTGTTCTCTCGCCGAGACTCCTACGTGTTCGGTTGCCTCTGTTGTTACTGGCACGGTCTTCGTCTGCTTCTTGGGTGAGCGGTCTTCGTCTGCTTCTTGGGTGAGCGTTCTATCCACTGTCTTTTCTGCATCTTGGTTGAGCGTTCTACCACCGCTTTGGAAAGGTAAACTCATCCAATCACAGATTTCTTTAAAATGATCTTCTCAGTAGTTTGTCTGCCATTTTGCTAGATAGTATTGAATTTGCATTTTTTAATACTATCTTAGGAAATTATGTTTAAGTGACATAAACAACTTAAGGAGCAATCGTTTATAATAACCACATGAAGTACTTAAAAGTAATAGCATGTTTCTATGTTCTCTCTGTCTGCTGGAAATTTGTGATTTTTCAGGTAAAATATATTAGACGGTCTGACAAGTGATCGAGAGGGGGTGAATAGATCACCTCTTTATTTTTCAAGGATTTAAAATATTTTATTAAAGTTTGTTAAAAGCAGCGGAAAAGTAAGGTCCAAAATCAACTTCCGTCTATTTTGAGCCAACAACTAAAAAATCGGACATGCGATAAACTTGTTGGATTTTATTAGTATGAAATAGATGAATCTAAACACAAATTACTTAACATTTTTAATGCACTTATCACTGGAACAATGTTATCATTGAATTAAAACTTGTAAGCAATTTTGTTAAACGGTTGGCGTATGCTTGTTTGATGATTAATAATGGTGATTTGATGAAAGTATTTGAACCACTATTTTATCATTAAACAGAAAACTCAGCAATCCAATTGAATCACAAAATTGCGGAAAATGTAAAGAGATAGGGAGAGAAAAAAAATAATACGCAGGCAGTTTGGTAAGAAAGTTCTCCACTGTCATCTTCGCGTGTGGGTACGTTTCCCTCTTAATTTCAAAATTGAAATTGAGAATTCTTATAATAATTTTGCTGAATGTTTGAATACAAGGTTACACTACACAGACAGAAAGAAATCCCTAAGACCTTCTTCTTCTTGTAAGCACCTCCACTTGATATGAGCCTTATCAAGATTCCTTGCAAGATGCACAACCGATCCTCCGCTTGTGCAAGATGCACAACTGATCCTCCGCTTCCACGACATGTTTGCAAAAATCCCTCTGATTTTTAAACCCCTCGCTACGGTTGAATTCGACTTGTGCGATTGTGACTAACAAACCCTCAAGAACACGTCCGTTCTTGAAGGACAAATCCCTTGGTTTTTTCTCGAAGCCCCCTTCAGAATCTTCAACCCAACTGAGATCCCTTGAATGCACAGCTGAACGTTATCTCTTGATCTCTTGATCCAATTGAACAAAGATGTTCGATTTTCGTTGTTGTTGTTGAATTAAGATGATTGAGAAGTTGATGAAGATGAAGTATCTTTCAGGCTTCTTGCTGCTCAGAATTGATGCTCACAATTGTAAATAATTGTTTCTCACCCATTTTTTACTACTGAAAAAACTTATATATGTAACAGAAAATGGTTAGAGACAGAAATTCATATTATGAGTCGATGCGTGTTAGCATGAGTCGACTCATGTTAGTTATGTAACACAATGAGTCAATACATGTTGTTATGAGTCGATGCAAGCAAATATTACAACATATTACAAGCCAACTATTTTACACGAGTCGATGCATAACATGTATGTGTCGACACATACTGAATTGAACTTTTAATTTTTGAAGACAAAACGTGTTATGAGTCGATGCATGATGTTATGTATCGATGCATAAAAGTTCAAAAATGTTTTTCAGGTGTTGGCTGAAGATTTTGATACTGTGATTCGAAATGAAATCACTATGGTTGAGCTTTGTTTGAATAAAGCAAATTTGATGATTTGGAATGGAAGAGAATGTTTGTTTCGAATGGAAATATTAGAGTTCAAGGTTTCGAATGATAAGTTGTGGAGTGTGAGTCTAAAGCCTTGTTCGAAATAATCATAAGAGGATATTTGTGAAGGTCATTTTTGGAAATAACCTATGAACAAACTCGAAACGAAAAGTTCCAAAACATTTGAAATTCAAACGTGAGCGGGATATTGGATATTCAAATACACAAGCATAAGAGTGTTCGAAGACGCGTGGAGGCTAGAGGGAAGCAATGCTCTGCATGCTTCGAATGTGGCAGATTCTGATAGTAAGACCGTTATGGTCGAATAGTATAAATAGAAGTCTTATTGTTAGGATTTAGGGTGTCATATCTATTGTACAAATTCAATAAACATTCAAAATACCGCATGGATAGGGAAACTAATGCTCGAAAGATGTACGTATGATAACACCAGCATTTACAATTCAATGAAAACTCTTTACATTTTCCAATTTTATCTTTCACTTCCGTTTCATTTGTGTTTCAAGCAATTTTATGTTTATGCCTTTACATTAAAGCCTTTGTACTCGAAGTCATTTATTCCTTTATGCATTTAAATACTTTTCTTATGGTCAAAACCTCTAAACATTTAGTAACTTTTACATCCACCCATTTAATCCTGCCATTTATCCAATTTCAAGTCTTTAAACTTTTCTCATGAATATTCCTAATACCATATAGAAGTTATCCTTCGAACCATTCAGTATAGTAATCGAAGCGGATTGGATATCTTTGGAACAACTCTAATTCGAAATCCTAAATACAAATGTCAGTTTTACAATTAGACTTAGCCAAACAACTATGTTCCATAGGATCAATCTAGTCGATCCTGTAAGTTACCAGAGAGATTGAATAATAGTAATTAAGTTTATTTGATAGTTTGGAAGACTAGCGGTTGTTCACCAGAAATCACTGTGAACAAATTGGCACACCCGGTGGGACCCGTTGTTAAGAAAGTTGAATGTAAAGATTTTTTAGGATATAATCTTGTTGCGTAAGTTCTTTTCTGGATATCGATTTCGCTGTTATATGAACCTTAGAAGTGGTAAAACAACTAATAGTAACCAACCCTTGCCCAGAAGAAAACGTAGTAGTGGGATGTCTAATCCAAATAATCAACAAGGGGAACAAAATATCCCACATGGAACATGCACCAATGCGTCTGTTTCGATAGGGACGTCTAACGCGATCCCTACGAACGCACAGTCTGTTGCATCTTCTACCAGTAGTGTGGCCACAAATGGAGCAAGTGGCATGACAACCAACGGTTCGACCCTAGGAAATACAGGGACCACTGGTTATCTTGCGGGATTTGTCCCACCATCAGGGACACAAACCCATTTCGCCACCCCACTAACTAGACCACCCGGTTTCGATGGCAACAGACACAAAAATCCCTCTTATGGGATGCCAACATCTTTTATGGCAGGTTTACACAATTCCACATCAAATTCGTCACCACAATTTGGATCCGGATCTGGGGCCAACCAATTTATGACAAATACCCAAGGTTCAGTGGGTCACAATTAATGGATGATAGTAACCATAATATGATAGGGGTGTTAGCGCAGACTATGCAAGAAATCTTTGCCCCAATAGTACAAAATGTAACTGTAACCAACAGAGAAAACGCGGACAACATGAGTCGAATAGCAGATTTTTTTGCTCCGCCAGAAAGGCGTAGGCAGAATCAGGCGGGGGTTCGAGCGAACATACCCATCATAGAACAAATTGCTGATGACCCACCCTATAGACCAGCCAGAGAGGGGGTTAACTTGGGGGCAAGGGCACAAAGGTTAGAAGCCCCAGTGATTCGAGAACCACAAAGGGGAGTTATAGAACCAGGGGCAAGGGTCGAAAGGTTAGAAGTCCCAGAGTTTCGAGAAGACCAACCTAGAGGAGTTGTCATGGTGGGTCGACACCAAGATGCTGATGAAGTCGTTCATAGAATTCGAAATGACAACATCTTGGCAGAAGATAATTTAACCACCATGATAGAAAGGATTATGGCTTAAAACGGTCTTAATACAGGTATTAGAAGGCCAAACTATTCCTCTCCCATAATAGATTATGTGATGCATACTGATTTACCAAGGGGATATAAAGTCCATAAATTTACAAAGTTCGCTGGAGACACCAATGAGTCAACAGTCGAACACATAGCCAGATATCTAACCGAAGCAGGAGATATATCAAATAATGAAAACCTTAGGATTAAATATTTCCCAAGTTCCCTAACTAAGAACGCTTTCACATGGTTCACCACTTTGCCTCCTGGGTCCATAGATACTTGGACTCTTTTGGAGAGGTTATTTCATGAACAATTCTACATGGGACAATCTAAAATAAGC